TTCGTAACTTTAAAAAAAATAATTGATCTTTGTCTCCGTGGCGACGAATTAGAAGAATGATATTATATTATGATGTTTACAGACTGAAAAACAATAGTTTCATGACGTTTTATGATGCGTAATTGTTATGTTCAGGAATGAATGACGTCGCCCTGATGACCTATTCACCTACGAAAGCCTCAGATCGGACGTCAGTAGTGCAAACTATAAAACAATTATAACGACATACGAGTAAATGGTTTGTGTAACTCGTTGGCGGGAGCTGTAAAATTGGGTCTCGAAATTCGACCAGAAATAAATTTAAGAGTCTCTAGTAGTCTAATAATAGATATAAGTTCGTCATATTCCGAGAGGTGCCGTCATTTCGGAGAGCGCTCGACAGTGGCGCTCGCGCATCGACAGCGCAATAAAGCGGAGTAGCCTTGATACGAGAATACAGATGATTTTCATCTATCGTCGGCTCTTTGAAAAAGTTTACGTTAGTGAGCATTACAATGCTTAACTAAATCATAAATAATTATGTTCAATTCATTGCTGCTATATAGCCAGAAATGATTATCAACAAAAATTTATTAGCAGTCCACATTCAAAATCATATTTTATTGCCAGTTTTTTTTCAAAAAGCTGAATAAATAACTGTGTTACAAAAGCTCGATTGGGTATTTTAGTATCTAAAGTTCATTTGTATTGTGTCATGAATGATACCTGTATGTTTCATGCATGTATTTTATGTCCAGAAACACGACTGCAGTTCGGTATACGATCGTTTTGCATGCAAGTGAAATGAAACCATTCTACCTTTATTCGGTGGCGGTGATAAAGAAAAATGCACGGCAAAAGGCTTTGAACCGTTGTGTTACAGTTCAAATGTTAAACATAACATTTACATACGGTTATTTAACCTGACCTGTTGGGTTTGTTGAATAAGTTTGTTGTTATTATATCATTTTTATCTGAACATTGTTTTATGTAGTTAAAGTGACTCCAAAAAGTCCAGAACTTCGTCATCTTTCCAAGTATCTATTCAGATTGAATATCTTTTGGAATATTTTTTTTATCTCTTCCTTTTGCATGTTTTTATATCTTTTTCTTTTATATTGCGTGGGTTAAATTAGAGTTATTCTCAGTCCCATCTGGCAATAGATTACCCAATGATAGCACTACTTATATTCTTCAATGGATGTTTTTTTGCAAAGCGCTATTACCCAGTCTTATCATAAGTTCTACTTCTCTACTTTGCCATTAAAAAGTTAATCTTCAACCTTAGAGTGTATTAAGAGTGTGTTTCGTGTTTGGGACGAATTCATATATCTCAAAGGTCGTAGACCTCACGCGTGTACTTAAGAAAAGTAGAGTAATAGTACAGACGATATCAAGTTGCCGTGCCGCGATATCAAGAGCAAACCACACTAGTTATATAGGTACCTACGGCTGTTAAACTTTATTGAATCGTTCGAATGCTGATTGAGACGCGCTTTGTAATACGGGCCTAATATTGTAAGCAACTCTTTCAATTTGGTTCGAAACAGACAATAACCACCATGAGTTGCTAAAATGATGTTTCAGCTATAAAGTGCTTAATTCTTTATTATCTTTGTGGTTAAATCTTTATTGAAATATTCATAGCTTTTTTGTAAATCTACCACAATACATTTATGTATTTATCTTTGAAAGAAAAAGCAATCTATGCGTCATTTTAATCATTTTTCTTTCTACTTATTAACCAAACCCAGAACTTCTTTTTCTATTATCTATACTTATGTGGACATTTATTGAATTTCTGCTAGTCTAGTCAAATCTAAACCAGATGGCGTGGTTAGATAACTGGTTTTCTTGTTGCATAAATGATGAGAACAATGATTATGTAAACAATTACATTTGATTTGAAATACATTTAAGATGAAGGAAAAAACAACAACACCCTGAAAGGTTTCTAAGTGAAGCATGTTGAAACGCTGTCACGCGTTTCGTAAGCTACATTAGTTGAGAATCAGTTATCAGTACCTCTAGTAGGAAAAACTTTCGAGTTCGTTTCGTTGCGTATTCAAAGTGTCATCGAAAAATTTTGTATGAAAAATTAAACAGCGCCCCCTAGGGCGGCTATAATATAGGGGGCGCTGTTTAATTTTTCATACAAAATTTTTCGATGATACTTTGAATACGCAACGAAACGAACTCGAAAGTTTTTCGTACTAGAGGTACAGGAGTGATAACGTGTTAATGTTCTCGCGAAAATATTTATTTGTAGCCGAAATCTCGCACACAAGAATGACGTAAATTAACTTGCCGAATATCTTTCAGTGATAACAATAAGCACTTTGAACTGCAATGAAAGCTGTAAACAAAAAGTAAATTCGTAAAGTACAGGAAGCATGCATGAGACGCGTGATGATGTGACATGCTAAAATAATTGGTTGTTTTCGTAAAAACTGTCTCTACGTTACGGCTGAATATTTTAATTAGGAAAATTCGGTGTGTTTGTGCGAGTTCGTCGTAATTAAAATTAAAAATATGACCAACTTGGTCAATATTTTATAACATCTCACCAAAACATTCTCAGCGTTTGATTTTTAAAAATCGCGCTCATAAATAGCGCCGACTGCTAAATAAATTCTGAACCGTAAAACTTTATTTCACTCAGCTAATGCATTTTTAAGAAGAAGGATGTTCGGTTTGGCCGACATTATCCCGATGCCAGTGCGCTAATGAAATTCTGTCACGGGCGGAGATGACTCATATCGTGAGCAATGTTCACTGAGCAACTCCCAAATAAACTTGATTGAACGCCTCACGATTACTTTTGCAATCGGGCGACAACATTCCTTTTAACTTTCATGAGTTTGAGTCGGAAAAGTTAAGATGAAAAATGTTCTTTAGAAAGTAACGGCAAATAAAATGCGTATATCTATAACAAGCTGTAAGTGCACATACAGATGCTGCAAATGGACCGGCACCTGATCGTAGACGCTCTCCGGGCCGGGACCTCAACATCGTTTGGGTAATCGTCGGCATCTCCGGCGGATTTGCGACGGCCGCGGTCTGCGAGCAGCTCGATGGTGGTCCAGAAGGAGCCTTCAGAGGCGCTGGAGGGTGTGCGGAGCATGCTGCACTCCTGGTGGCCCGCGGTGCAAGTGGCCCGGCGCGCGGCGGAAGGTGCAATGACTGCCGCCGCCATGTCCTCGCACCGCCTCACCCCCGACTCACACCTCGTGTGAGCACGCGATCATTAATCTGCCCCGACACCATTCACGGATAATTTCTTTCGCATTCAGTGAATCACATCCAAGTGCCGACACTTGGAAAGCTCGATTAGTTCTTTTAATTGAACTTAACTGCTCCGAAAGCAATTTGCCGAACTATTATTCTGTCGATATCGGACTTGATTGAGGTGGGTAATGGATCCCGAAGCGATGAGTTTTGTGCGCCGTGCTGCACGCACGGTGTGTGTCTTCTGTAGGCTCGTCAACAAATATGCACCAATTAGAGGTGCACCGCCGGGGTCGGGCGCTCACCTGTCGCGGTGACCCGGATGGCGCCAACGTCGCCGGTCGCGACCGGGTCAGCCGGATACTTTTGCCAGGACGGCCTTCGCAACTACCTAAGTAATTACGTTGAAATTGTAACTTACAAACTATTTCAGCTTCCTTTTTGTCTAGAGACCTTCATTAAACTGGGTCATGATAACCAATGCTTATTTGTGACTTGGTGTATGTGGCACATTCAATATTTGTTTTGATTCGTGTGATAGGTTCAAGTAATAGCACTATAAAAAGACGTTTGGCTTCTGGGTAATGTAATGTCTGTCATTTCATACGTCCAGAATAAAGACGTTACGTCCGGAATGGGCGGTGGTCACGAAAGTGCGCACGTGCTTAGTACGAGTTGTTTACATTTCAAGATTCCGGACTGACAAAAACAATTGATAAAAGATTGTATCAGTGTTATGACGTCACAAAGGTTATCATCATGGTGACGGATACCATGTTGAGGAATTTTATTGGTAACTAGCTGCTTTCTTTGTGACTCCGTTCGCGTTAAATTTTAAGGATGAGTTGCACCGCCTAAAGTTAGGTGGTACAGTAACTTTAAACGATAACTGGTGTTTTTTGTATGGAGTTTGACAGATTTTGACGTTTGTTACAGTCAAAGTAAGATGGTGCAACCCACCCAAAGTGACTTTTGGTTACTAATTTATAGACCTTGGCAGTTGTGTGACTGAACTGTACGTAACTGAATAAAATATGTAGCTTGTAAACAATCGATACTTTTATCCTATGCTTTCCTTTTAATGGTAAATAACAGTTAATGTTCTCACTCTGAGTAGGTCAAAGTTTTCCCATTAAGCCCTCGTGGAGAAAATTAGGTTCGTAAAACTCTGTAGTTAGACTTAATGGTGTTTTTAGTTAAATGATACGATTTAAGTGCCTGTAAAACATTCGTTGCGTGCTCTATCACATACATGTCTAATGTTGGATGTTTACTCGTTCTTTATCGTAATATGACAAGGTTAATTTTTTTTGTTGTCAAGTAACATCACGTGTTTTTAGATGACGTGTTATTTAAATAATTAAATACCTATATTATTTATTTAGCTTAGCGACAAAACATGGATGAAGTTTAACAATATTTTTTTGAAATTGTAAACAGTACTGGTAGGCTGGTAGGGCAAAAAAGAATGAGACATGTATAGGCTCCTTAAGAGCATTTGATGATTTGCAAGTACCTACTAATTTAATTAGTCTAAAAAAAAAGAGAATTTTGATTTTTGATTTTGGCTATTTTTGATTAATATACATACCTCCACAAAATTACAGCTCCCTAGTGCACACAGTTTCCAAGCAAAACCTCGGACAGACAGACAGACAGACATATCGAAACTATAAGGGTTCCTTGTCAGTACTACGGAACCCTAAAAAGGTGTGATTACTTGCTCAGTGAGCAATCTTTTTGTGGAAGGCCGAAGCTTCAGACAAAGTTTCATGAATATGAAGCAAGCTTACGCATATTGTATGATCTTGGCCTGCCACCAACGCGGCAGGTTGGGCAGCTGGAACCGCTTCATCTTCTTGCGCCCCATCTCACCTTCGCCCGTCTCATCCTCGCCTTCCACCTTCAAACATCGACAGCTTATAAGACTACACATTTTCGTTGGAAATTGGATCCTATTAAAACTGTATAAGGCGCCACAGTGTCTAGCTTGATGTGCTTCTGTAGTGAGACTAATGAGGCTATAAGTTTTTTGTGATTAGTTACATTTATTATTTGTCTACCTTAAATAAATTAAAATATGGGTGCAACAGGTCAAATGCCTGCAGAAGCTGCTGGTTCTTCACGCTTGCTAATGTAGAGTTCACGTGTAGTTTGAGTGGGTATACTTCTGCAGAGCTTATGAAGGGGCATGCTAGGGATCTGTGGTACCGAAGACCTGTGTTTCAGGTGTGATAATCAAATTGAGAACACTGTCTCGAATATTGGTATGGACAGCAATGGAGAGAGCAGCATAGAGCAGAATCTTTGGGATAATCATTGATGGTAATAATGTGGTTAATAAATGAAATCTTACGTTAAGTTTGACCCTTTTGTCTTTATCATCTTGCTTGTTGTCACCCATTTTTGCGACTAAAAAGCTTTGGAAATCACTAAATCACTGGAAATTTTGAGACTATGGCTCAAGACGATAAATTTTATACCATGTGTCTGTCCGAATAAGCGGTATTTACTAAAATTTTGATACCCAAATGCTAAGGTAGGCTATTATAACTCATAAATTTTGTGGCCATGAATGTCAACTGTCAACAGTGGCGTTAGCCATAGAGGAAAGAGTCAATTTCAAACTAGAGTTTGTTGCCGTGAGGTCGTTATAACTAAGTTTAATTTATGATCGAGAGATCGCATGACTATTTTATAAAATACAGGGTGTCCCAAAAACAATGGATAACCCTGTAACCATCGATAGGCCTCGCCATGGTCTCCCTAACGTCCAATTTTGACCCCAGTAAAAATATCACCATTTTCAAGATTTTTAAGTTGTTGTGAATTTTTTAAAAATTGCCACCTGCGATTACTTTTTCTCATGCCATTTCTACAAATGAGGATACTTTTCAATCTAGTTTTTTTTCTTATCACAAGGAATAGTTGGGCTATCAAAAGAAAAGATTAAAATTCAACAAACTAGTTTAAAAGTATGACAATTTTAAGAAATTGCAGAGAATAAGGAAAAATTAATTCATTGTCTTGCACTTTTGATCAGCCGTCGTGTAAAAAAAATGTAGGAAGACCATCGTGCCCATTACCTTAAAAACTTCCTTGGTTAATTGAGATTCTAAAAAGGTATCACAAGCCTATGTATTCTGTATTATTTTTATCTTATGGCTACTTGAATAGCAACTAGTATGAAAACTGCAAAAATGAGTTTTTCGTCGGTCCACTTTGTAGGTGGACGTCCTACGATGCGCTTTCCGGTACGTAGCCTCCACTTGAACCCTGTTGCCCCATTGGGCGTCCGTTCTGCGTTTTTGTGATTACTTAATTTTTGTTTTACACCTTATAAATGTGCCTATAGACAGATGCCCCTGATGATACACGGCTCGGAAACGTGGATTTTTTGCACAGCGTGCTATGGAAGGGGCTATGATCGGGTTTATTTACGAAACCGTATCAGAAATTAGGAGACCTGTAAACGAACTAAAGTCGCTGACATAGCCCGACGGATCAGCAAGCTGAAGTGGCAAAGGGCAAGGCACAGTAGTTCGCAGAACTGAGGCAGCAGGGTTCAAGTGGAGGCTACGTACCGGAGAGCGCATCGTAGGACGTCCACCTACAAAGTGGACCGACGACCTCATAAAGATAAGCAGGAAGGTGCTGTATGCAGGCCGCTATCNAGATTTTAGCAATTTAATTCACAAAATCAATTGCGCACATATAAAATAAAGTTTGTTTACACTTTGACAGCAATAGACTGACATGCAAGGTGACATATCAATGAAGTTTTCAGTTACTGTTGCCATTAAAAGAAATTAGTACCATTAATTTTCCGCAACATGGCGAGGGTTTTTATGTTCCTGGTCAGGCTATAGTTGCTATTCAAGTAGCCATAAGAGAAAAATAATACAGAATAGTTACATAGGCTTGTGATACCTTTTTAGAATCTCAATTAACCAAGCAAGTTTTTAAGGTAATGGGCACGCGATGGTCTTCCTACTTTTTTTTACACGATGGCTGATCAAAAGTGCAAGACAATGAATTAATTTTTCCTTCTCTTCTGCAATTTCTTAAAATTTTCATACTTTCAAACTAGTTTGTTGAACTTTGATCTTTTCTTTTGATAGCCCAACTATCCCTTGTGATAAGGAAAAAAACTAGATGGAAAAGTATCCTCATTTGTAGAAATGGCATGAGAAAAAGTAATCGCAGGTGGCAATTTTCTAAAAATGCACAAAATCTTGAAATCGGTGATATTTTTACTGGGGTCAAAAATGGACGTTAGGGAGATCATGGCGAGGCCTATCGATGGTTACAGGGTTATCCATTGTTTTTGGGACACCCTGTATGTAGGTAACTATACAATAGGTATAATTATGTGATTATTAGTAAAAAGTTGCGTTACAGCATGTTGCTTATTTATGTATCGTGTCTCACAACTATTTTCAGTTCAGAATTGAAACACATTTTTTCCAAATAATCTTTATTTTGTGGATCGACATACTATTCTTAGGCAAAATTATCAAGTTCGTTGAGGAAGACGGCTAGGTTGCTCTCCTTACGGCTGCCGAGCCATCTGCGGCGTACTTCCACTTCAGAAGGGCCCCACTGCTTGTTGGGGGAACAGCTGGCACGAATGCGCTGAAAAATATAAATTACGTTTATTAACGACCAAAAAATAATTAATTATTCTTATTTCTTTACACAGTAAACGGGATTATTCCCAATTCCCGTTCCCACAGCTGCAATTCCTATGTAGCCAGGATCTACAGCTTGACCGCCAATAAAACCCCAACCAGTGAAGGTGAAGATTGTCCCGGGGGAAAGTTAAACTGTTATTGGACCCACAACTAATTAATCAGAAAACATATGGCGAGTTCAAAGTTAATTTTCGACTTCTCCAGTGTCAAGCGGATTACAGCGTTGAAGCGAAAACCTTTTTCATGACTAAACAAGGGTTCATTACACAGTGATGTAATTTCGATAAGTTTTATAGCTCAGGCTTGATGCTCATACACTTACTTGAAGCAGGGGTCCCGCGCTTTTGGAAACAACAATAGCAGCATAGATGGGTATGAAGACCACCGAAGAAAGCGCCACGCACCAGCCAGCAATCCCTGATGCTTCACGAAGAGTGTATATTGTGATTACCTGAAAATTTTTCAGAAAAATAGCATAAGATTCCGGACTTTATTGACATTGATCGAAATGCTGCTTAAGTTTCTATGAAACCAGGTTACGTAACTTTAGCTAGAGTACACTGACAGCGTGCAGCCTTGGGGAGAGATTGTATATTGAATTAGAATGTAGAGTTTTGATTTCTATTCGACTTGATGATGACTGGGTGGTGGGATAACATATTGCTTTATGAAATTATATGTAGCCCCTGGCCTTCCTAATATAAACAAATAAACATAGAAAGACAAGGAGGGAAATGACTAAAGTGTTAGTCCAACGTAGATGTCAGATATTACGTTCTTTCAGTCTTCAGAATACAAACTTACAACTAAGATGACTGGCAGGACGTATTTCCACTGCCAGATCCAGAACCGGTGTAGTGGCTTCCCAGTCATGAAGAGTACGTCCCGGCTGAACCTCTTGGGACCATAAGTGTACAAGGCAGCGACAATCTCGAGCAGACAAACCACGGGCACGCACGCTATAGCAACGTGAGAATCCAAAAGAGTTATCACGTGAAGCCCCGCCTGAAATAATCAAATGTTATTTTATAAATACTGTCTTAATTGGGTGTAAAATTAGCCATGTTTGTAAATATCTATGCAACTAAGAATAAGTCACTCAACTCAAGTGGAAAGTAAAAATAATAAATCATTATTGTTGTTCTAAAAACATGAGGGTGCCGCTTCGTTCTGTTATACCCGGTCTTTGTATAGAATAAGGCTGACCCGCCGCTGTCGCGCCGAGTCAGCGTTTCTAAACTATGGGAGCGCCAGAGACCCCACTGAAAAGTTTAGTTCGGTTTGAGAGCTTGCTGCAACGGGTTGTCTTTAAAATTAATGTTTAAAAAGTGAATAAACTTTAAATACGTAACAAACTGTTTTTTAAAACTCCAATCTCGAGACATCGTACAACATTTGGTGGCAGCGGTGGGATTTAAAGAAGTCCTCGGTAACCGCATCCGAAGTAACAGTGATCAGTGTGTGTGCGCGAAAACTCCGAACTCATTATCTCGCTGTATCTCGCCGTATCTCGCCGTATCTCGCTGTATCTCGTCGCATCACACTGTGCTCTTCTACATCTCGCCGTGTCCCGTTGTTCCCGCTGTGTCCCGCTGTTCCCGCTGTGTCTCAACCCGTTGTACTCACCGAACCTACCATCATCACCGCATCCTGAGAAGAAGTTCCAGTATCCTCACCGTGTCCCGAGCTCCGTATCCTGTAAGAAACATCACCGTGCCGCTCCGTGCATCGCAGCTATCAACACGCCGTGTCACCGTCGTTGCGCAACCGAGTGCGCGATTGCGTCATCTATCCCCGTGTTCCCCGATTCAAAGAACAATGCACCTGATTGTCACACTCATCGCGTGGTAAGTCCTTGGTCATTGCTTTACCAATACAATAAGTAACCAAGCATAAATCTAAGTTCATTTTATTTTTAATTTGTGTTCTATTTTGTGTTTTTGTGTGTACCATAAATTTATTTTTGTAACCATGGCAACCAACGACGAGTTTTCCGACTCCGAATCATTCAACGTCCCGACGGCCTCTGCGTCCAAACCGGTCACCCGCAGTATGGCTTCTGTTCCTAAATCGGAAGACAAAATTGATCTAAACATACTACTCAAATTCATAAAACAATTTAATGGTGACAGAGACAAATTAAATCCTTTTATTTATAATTGCCAAAGCGCATTCAATCTAGCAAATGATACACAAAAACCTATACTATTCAAATACATGCTCAGCCAACTCGAAGGTAGAGCCGAAAGTATATGCAGTATCAAAGAATTTGAGACCTTCGACCAATTAGTAACAAATGCTAAGGCGGACGTATTCTGTCAGAATACAGCACTTTTTTTTATTGGCCGACACTTTTGATTTTGAACAAAAAATGTATGAATAGTCGATGACTTTTAGATCTCAAATACTCGACGCACAGTGGAGCTACGGCTTTGGTGCCATAGTAACAAATGCTAAGGCAGACGTATTCTGTCAGAATACAGCACTTTTTTTTGTTGGCCGGCACTTTTGATTTTGGACCAAAAATATATGAAACGTGGATGATGTCCTTTCTCTAGATTACCGAGAAGTGACTTCAAGGAGAGGTAATGATTTCATGTGATTGACACCGCGGCATTGTGCCAGGAAATACCTTTCCAACGCTCTTGACCCCATTGCAGATGCAGAGATACACGACGACCCAGCAGATGACGTTGCACCAGAATACAGGCCATACTATCCCACCAACCTCGTTTATGCTCGATGACATTCGAAGAAGTCGTATGCTGAATAAAAACAAAAGAATAAAAATTCTAAAACACTGGCAAATATGTATACGAGTAGAGCCAGTACGATTAAAGTGAGATCCTCACTGGAAGAATTCGTCTTCTGGAGTTGTTATCGATGCATTCCCATAGGTAGAGCTCATATTACCAGTGATCTGAAAATTGTAGGCGATTTAGACTTATGAAAAAATGATCCAAAGTAATTTCAAAATTAAATCTTATACCTCAGTGCACCTCTCTGTATTCCATGAATTCCCGCAACTTTGCCATGGCAGAGGTGAGTTAAACGAATGATACATATACAGTAATGGATACGCCATGATTGCGGAGAAATAAACGATTGCAATTATGTTCAGAACTACCGCCGCATACCCAGCACCTGTAAATGTACAATAAACCTTTACAATGTCAATATTTTACGGTGTTATTCGTTCATTTCGTGATCGAGAGTCATTTGTGGGAACCGTAGTTACTGTCGCGGGTATAGACAATAGATTTTCTTGGTTCAGAAACAATAAACAGACGACCTATTTGAGGTGATGGATATTTCCCTATTTTATGAAGGCAGGGATGTTTGTTATGCAAAATACACAATGACTGTAATAATAAAATCTTACCTTTGAGCAATGGACTGATGTTGAATATCGCAATGCATCCTGAACTAGAAAACTGTCCCAATGTGGTTTCCAGATACACTAATGGTATTCCACAGATGAAAAGGGTGAGAAAATAAGGAATAAGGAATGCTCCTGTAACATAAGTAGTATGATACGACTGTAACTATCAGACACATTAAATTAAACTTTTTCTAACACTTTATCACTTCTAAAAGTTTACCTCCACCATTTTTGTAGCACAAGTATGGGAATCTCCAAACGTTTCCGATCCCGACTGCATATCCCAGACATGAGAGTAAGTATTCGAGCTGATTGCCCCAACGCTCTTGTGGAGCCCCCGCCATCGCAAATAGAGCAAATTGTCCTGTTGTTTAACCCACTCACACTACATTAATCACCGTTGGCGTTTCAAATATAGGACTAGTGCATCAAGAAAAAACGTCACATGACTAGAAGACAACCAGTTCCTTGTTTAGTAACTTATGATTTGCTTAGCAATCCCGGTTGGGGGTCCTCGCGACAAGATTGTATCAATTGAATATGAATCACTATATCCGTTTAGGACAATGGAAGAATGAATGGATTTTATTCCGTCAGATTGTTTGACTAACAGCGATAGCCAATAAAATGAATTAAAATATCGCAATATTAGTTAAATTTCATTTATTTTATAAATTAAGCTCTCAAGGTATCGATACCAAAACCAAAATGACATGTAAGGTTTTCAGGAGGCAGTTGTCTTGATGATCCAATGTCGGTCTCTTGTTTGCCCTTTGTAACTTTTACTGGTGCTTGACTGTACTGCAGAACCTGGAGACAGATTGATCTCTTTATTCTGATGCTGTATTTAGCCTCTAAATAAGTAGCACATACTAGAAAATAGTAGAGTCACTAAAAAAACTTATCATTTGATATTTAATTTATAAATCCTGAATTTTTAAATCATAGGGTATATGGCTACAACAGCTACTGTGATAAACAGCAATATATCCACTGTCGTAGTAAAACAATAAGAAAATTGAGCGTATGTGAAAAAAGGAAATTATAGTGATACATTCACACCTATGTGACAAACTCTTGCGCAATCTTACATTACATTTTATTTATTGGATGTGAAGATGCTTACAGATAGATCTCCATCTCCCCAGTGTATAGCATCATTTGTCCCCAAGGAGTCGTCCCAATGGAAGTGCTGGGAGTGTTGACTCCAATCCGGCTGTCGCAAGTGACATTTGATGGAGGCCAGTACCACTCTCTGCTCTCCTGGTTGCTTGATCGAGTGGGCACTCTTCTTGTCTGGCTTTCCTTGTTTTCCAGCTACCGTCTATGGAGAGTGTTTCATTTGAGAACCATGGTGATCAGACTACACTTATCTAGTAAATTATGTAGACTCAAAATGTAATTTACCTACAACTACTACTAACATTACATTGTTAAAATGGAACTTCTCATAGAGTCAAGTTTTTATTACAAGTGACCCTTACCACAGAATAAATCAATCTAACTGTTACGATTGTCCGGAAGGTATCTCTCAAAGCTATCAGGTCCGGGCAGAAGATCCTGACTGCCGGCTCTTGGAAGTTCATCACTTTGTTCCATTGAATCCTGTTGCTTTCAAAGGTCGTAAAATTGACAATTTCTCTAGAGTTTTTAGCCGTTAAGTGGTTATAGATATCAGATTCATGAGGCGACGTCTCTGTATCTGTACAAAGAGGTTTCGTGTCATGCTTTTTTTAGCAAACATGTGCGTATNATATGCTAGGGAAAGCCATTCGAAAAACAAAAAACAGTAGTATGTAGTAAATCATTCAGTTGTTTATCGAGGTGTTGTGGGCAAATAAGAACAAAAGAACATCAAAAAGATATCTTCAAACAAAAGACAGATAGCATGCTACGTTCAAGATCGCATGTTTGAGGCGAACGACACGATGACTTTATTAAAATATACAAATCCGAAAGAGCACGAACCTAAGGCGCTTTTGCTCTCTATGAACAGTGAGGGCACTTTATTGGTGGGCCATTCCTCATCTTCAGGTGGAGGCAGCATCTCAATTAGTGATTCGTTGTTGCGAAACATGAGGAATTTACGACGTTTCACGTCCAAAAGACGCAATTCCAACTCTACATGAAATGTTGTTACTGCACCCTGTGTAAAAATACTAGTTTTGAAATAAAGTCGGCTGACGAAATTGGTTTTAATCATTCTTTTACACGTTTCCGTTCCTTTGTAAGTCTAGTATTTGGCACATAAAGATATGTGCAAAAAAATTCAATAAAGACACAGAAACATATTTGTGTGGGACTTTTGTCTTTGTAATTGAGGACGCATAAAATTGTATTTAATGTAGGTAAGTAGTAGGCGTCTCGATTTTTTTACCTTCTCTGGTTTCGGCGGTTGCGCAGCAGACATGACGCGAAATATAGTAAAATTAAAGTACGCAGAGCGCAAGTCATCAGGGTGGGGCTCGAACGGTTCTGCTGACCGGTCTGTGGGCAGGACCTCGCGAGAGTCCAGCCACTTGAGGCGAGGCAACCTCATTAGGGTAGTACGGGAGTAGCCGGCACACACCTGGAATTAGCCAAATATCTACAAGTCAGTATTCGATAAATTGTTGTTAAAATTACTATTGAACAATAATAGAGTTTTGCAGCATCCATTTTTCAGATTTTTAAGAAGATTAGGAGCTTTTTGGCGAGACGTATGTATTATTAGATGCCAATGGCCAGCAGTGTATTGATTGATTTTGATTGTGCGTAGATTGAAGATAATGACGTAGTTTTTCTATTCAAGACAAAACTGTGAAGAAGTGGAACAGGTAGAGTCATACAGCTCTTCAACTAGAAGCTTTGTTATAAAGGGTCAAATTGTATTTTGATGAAAAATAAAATTCTTAATACGTAAGTTTCTAGTTTAAATAATTTCAGGAAATAAAATTAGTTATTTTACGTAAAAAACAATTTTGTTAACAGTAGTGCCATCTTTGTCTTTCTAGTGAATTTAAATTGTAGTTTGCTTGTGCTTGTGTTTCAAACAAGTTGCAAGAACTTTTTTTCAACTTTACGTAGGTAATTTGTTTAAAACAAGAAAAAGAAATACCTACACAAATTAGTGTAGTGCAGTGTAAATTAATATTTTAGTTTCTAGTTTTCAGCTTCAGAAAAATATAGTAACGCCATCTTTGTTTTCATGCGGATATTAAATTTAATCTTACCGCGCACGGGTTGCCGGCTAGCAGGAGCGCTCTCATGTTCGGTAGCCGCGCTAAAACATCTAGTAACGGCTCGAGGTGATAGATGTCGTTGTCAGACAAATCTAGGACTGTGATGTGGAATGGTAGACGCGCCAAAGACTCAATGTACTCTGAAAATAACAGTCTTTGACCCACCAATAAATATGACAATACTTTCAAAGAATTGAGACTTACCGTTCTCTAGAAAATTCCTAGCTAATCCTAAATACAACAAGTCGAAGGGCAAAAACTCTACAAAAGTTCCAACATCTCTGATGCGGTTAGCTTGAAGTTCCAGTGATCTTATTCCAGGTGGGAGAAGTTTTCCATCCACTTCACTCAAATAATTTCCACATAGATTTAGATTTACTAGATTTTGAAAATCTAATAATCCGCTGTCTAGTTCCGTCATCTATAAAAATATTTCTAAGCTTAGTTTTTCAAGTCTAGGAATTCTGCAACGATCGCTGCGCTAAAACAGTATAAATATGCATATGTAGGACATACTTGAGTGTCATTTACTCTTAAAACCGATGCAGCTTTAATTTCACGCCTCAGAACATTTCTATCACCAATTTTAACTGTTTTCTTGATTAATTTCACCATATCATCAGTGATACAATTGATACTGTTGAAACACGTTTGTCCTTCTTCGTTAGCAAACTTCTCGTTATCCCACAACGTAATAGGCAGTAGTAACTCCCACTGCTGGTCTAATGTTAGACCAGATTCTTCATCGAGGAAGCCGTTAAAAATGCTTTTCTTAATTTTGTTTTGGAGAGCTTCAGTAAACGTTATAGTTGGTAGGTCAGTCTGGCATAATTCCCTATGGTGTCTAGCAGCAGTTTCAATGAGTGTCCAGTCTATCCCTGTTTCTATTCGTTCCTGAAAACCTGTAAACGTACGACAAAACAAAAAAGTGACTCGCCAATTAACGATAAAAAGTTGAGTTTTTATAAGTAGAGCCAACGAGTTTATTGATAGAGCTGCTTGCTAGTTAGACTTCTAACTTCTCTGATAACTATAAAATCTTAAGAACCTCTGCCAACTTGGCTGGATCTTTTTTTATCATTATTTCAGCAAATTTCGGGAATGTCAGACTTCCGTAATCTCTTAAGCTGTTTTTTCCATCCAGCTGTCCCAGTAGATTATAATTTGTTCTTGTTCTTGTTGTGTTGTGCAAGTAAAGAGTTCTTCTTATTATCATTACCTTCAATCGCATCATCAGGAATGTACATCAGGCTAGAATCACTGATCGGGGGGCGTGCCACTTGCGGTGGAGGCTTTTTGGGCACGTCTTTCGCTGGTTTTGGCGGCATTTTCTTGTGTTAAAAAGAAATTAGAATTATAAACTTTAGTGTCCGACCGAATGTTCGGTTTCGGTTTCGTTTTCGGTTGAGTTTCGGTAAAAACACGAGTTTCGGTTTAGTTTCGTTTTCGGCGGCAAACTTACCGAAACTACGACCGAAACCGAATGTGCATTCGGGAGTTTCCGCGCTGTTATCGGTCATGTTCGGCGCGGCGCGTTGAATGAGTGGATGAATCCGATCAGAGCCAATGTCGTGATTCGCTCGCTTGTTTGTTTGCTGTTAGTTTGCAAATGCTATACATAAACAAACATTACCTACTTAAGTAGTTAGTAATGACTATAGTGTATTTCATGGTGATAATATTATGGATTCAGAGTTTCAAAGTTCATTTTAGTATTTATCACCAAGGTATCCAAGTGGCAAGTAGGTACATTAGATACCTACTAACTTACGTACTACCAATTTAGTTTTGAGAAATTATTAAGGTAAAAGACCCGACCATGGAACGGGTTATGTAGATGTCCTGAATATTGCGAGTAATTAAAAAAAATCAGACTATAAATCCTTCTTTTTCTTATTTACTACAAAATTTGATACCTTTTAGAGTAAAAAGGCACTTTATAAGTTCAATTTTAATGCAATTTAAAGAGAAAACTATAAAGACTGACTGATTATAATAACGTTTTCTTTATTTTTCCTTCAAAATATGACCCTTGTAAGGAAGTTTCGGTTTCGGTTTCGGCCGAAATAAACACCGTTGCCGAAATTCGTTTTCGGTTTCGGTTTCGGTTTCGGTCGTAAAATTAGTTTCGGTCGGACACTAATAAACTTATGAGAAAATAAATGTGTAAGAATTTAAATAATTTTCTGAAGCAACTAAATAAATTGCAGGCACTATAGCTTTATGATTAGAATACAACTACAAAATAAAACGGAAAAATTTCCTAATGTTTTGACATCAAATAAATGTTTACGTTTTTGAAAGTTTATTTAATGTGACAAAGGAATGTAGGTATTGTAAAGGCTACCACGAAAAAGTTTTCTTACAAAACATCTAACATTATAAAAAGGATATTGGGCAACTTGGGCTTTATTCAAACAGAATCAAAATGCATGCCAAATGAAATCAATATCTACTAATACTTTATTTAGGTACTTTGGCTTCTAAAGAAGGGAAAATTCTGAAAAATTACAGAAAAACTTGTTAAATGTTATTTCAAGAGTGTAAATCAATCAAAACTAAAATAGAAAAACCGATTAGAACTGTTCGTTCAATATTAATTTTAATATTGAAATACGTAATCTCTATAAAATGTGAATGTTTTCCTGAAACTTTTCCTTCATAGGTAGAATCGATAAAACAGTTCCAACTTTTAAATTGATAATGCGTCGCTAGGTGTCGCTACCGTGCGTTTATTTACCAAAGAACTCCGTGCCATGTGCTTGTTTTTTTACTTTAGAAGTAGTGTGAAGTTTATTCGCGACTGCTTGCTACCAAAGTGCACGTCACGAATAAACCTGATATACCACATACCGACGTGCGATCTTATGAGAGTTGGTTTACTCGTAGACAGTGCTCGATAAATATTATACTTTGGACTAGCACGACCTCGTCCTGTCAAGATTTTAATAAATTATGTGCCTTTTTCCGAGCAGCCAGAGTTTGTGTTGTGAAATGACATTGACAAGTGAGTGCGCGGGAAAATTTGACGTGTAAAGTTTGTCCACGGGTTTGTCCTACGTATTTCGCATAGTTAGTTTCACATTATTGTGATTTGCCGTGGATTCTGTGGTGAAAGTAAAGCTATGTGATCGTGCAGTACCAGTTCGGTGACGTTGCCAGCATTATTGCATGCCCTTGCATGATTGGCAACCCACCATAACTCGCCAACTATTCAAGTGTATTTCCGCGCGGTAACTTTGAAGATCTGATCAACAGGTATATTAGTTTACTCTTTTGTTTTAATGTTAGTTTGGTTTTCGTTGTTTTGTATCTTTCTGTTAGTTTAACCACAGGTTTAACAAGTTAATATATTAATGGCCGACTGTTATTTCAATTGTTTTTTCATTTACAAACATTGTTTAGTCAGCTGTTTTTGATACTTAGGGTTAAGTTATTAATGGGTAAAAGTATCTACTAATAAGATAATACTCGTTGGTTTCATAAGTTTTAGTGGAAATTTTATATCGTGTAAATTATATAAGTATTGTAAACTAAACTATACACAAATTAAGTAAGTATAGGTTACAAGCACTTCGAGACATAGAAAGGTAGTTTTCGTAAGTTTTTAGCACCAGGACTCTCTTAGATAGTTCATTATTCCTTTAATGACGTAAACCCTAATTAAATGTTACAAAAAACAAATAATTCAAACAACTAACAAACTCTGGACGTAAATAATTCACTGTCCGATAGAATAATTGTCAAATCAAAAGATTTATATATGACTTACGTTTACATTGGACAGATTATGGACGTGGATTTTACGTAATTATATTATTTATGGACTATAACTAACATTTGTATTTACGTAACAGCAAATTAAACGGCTACTTACTTACCTAGCGGACATACCTACTTACTACTTACAATAAAATCTGGTTAGTAGCGAACGGCAATATTCGCATCTTTTACGTTGTTTCAAGGCTTACACACTTATAACATTTGGCTTGTATGTATTTAGTTTTGGTTTATGTTAATTTAATTTTTTAATGATATTCGATGTTTGCCATTGAAATGCTTCGCCTAATAATAAACTTCACACTATGTTCTACTTAATGGGCCAGCTCAATACGAGTAGGTAGGTCACGTTGTTAATTTTCGCACTCTTTAATTTTCAGCTACCAAACAATAGAATGTCATAAAAACTGCTAATTCATATTATATTCGAAGAATTTCATTGTTTTTATTTGATTTTACCGCTTTTATGCATTTACTTCTTGGAAAATGGTAATATTTTCAGTAAAATGGGCTTTCGACTTGGTTTTCGATGACCATAACTTCTTTCATAGTTTAGTCAGATCTCTTCTTTTCAGACTTTTTTTTTAACATTTTTCGCTTTCAGTCAGCAGACTTATGACATTGTGATGTTGCGTTGATTTTGGTGAATAAACAAATCAAACTGTATTATTTCATTAAATTTGAATTAATTGAAACATTATAAATATTTAACTTGTGAAGCTGTGTGTGATGGAGTGCCCAATGATCCATTAATCTATTGAATGACATTTGTAGGGAAAAAACTACGAATTTCTTGGAAAGCATCAGCAATATTGGCTGCGAAGTTTAGTATCACAATGATTATAAAGGTATATCTCATTCATATTACACTTTTCGTTTTATGAATTAAACTCTGTGCTAGAATTTTATTGGGGTTGGTACTTTCATGTGCCTGTATATATTCGCTATCGCGGCAGACACTGAAGGTACTTATGTAGGCTATGACGGTAGGTAATTATATTGTTTGGTGCTGCAAAGGAAGATGTGTTCTAAAAATACGTTATAAATATTTAATTTAATTAATTTGTGCGGTAAAATGTCAGCTTAGAATAAAAACAATAAATAAACACCTAAAAATTTAAAAATCCAGAAACGTTGATAACAATAATAAAACTACCTATGTGATTCCTCGTAATCAGGTTTCAATGCTTGACTAATCTTAGCTGTAGGTAGGGAATTCAACTGGTTTTTATTAATTTGAAATTTTGTTAACAACTTGTTGCTTAATACATAGTTTGTTTATATAACGATGTTTACGTTACTTTAATAATGGATGATAAGTCGCATAATAAGTACGGCTTTTGCTGTCTTGTTTTTATTTAAAAAAAACAATTTGTTGCCGGTAACTGACGTTATTTTGGAAAATACTTATATTCTTTTGCCTACAATTTGTCGGTCAGTCTACCGACTTGTATTATGAACTGGCTCAAAATGAGCAATTAATTGTCATCAGCTGCTGTCTCGATGCATAATCTGATCTGTGGCAAAATTCCACATTCCAAAACCAGTCCACAAGGTCGCGAGTCGTCCAGTTCCAGTATAATATTTTGCACTTTAAAAAACTTTCCATTTCGTTTGATAAAAGATTTCAAAAGGAACATTCGAGACCTTCTCAAAACTTTAATAGTTACAGGATTACGTTATTTCAAATATTTCCCTATTTTCTTTCTTTTCACATGTGAAATTTTAACATTTACTTGCTGTGCTGTACAGGAATCAATGCGTAGAAATAAAAATAATACATACTAAATCGCCGTAGTATGTTAAATGCATTTCGTGCAGCGGTCACGGTGAACTAGCAGTTTTTATTTTTGGAAGTACATAAGTACTTACATTTCTAAAATCCATTTCATCATTGTCATAGATAGCAATCTTAACTGTACTTTGGCACGTTGTTAATTTGTCTTTAATTGTTGCTAAATTTACGTAAATTCGCTTATCGCTGAGTTATCAATTAATCTCCACTTAAGCCCTTACCATACATTAACATTTAGACATAGGAACTTGGTACACATAAGTATTTGCGATGATAGTGATGTATATTTGTCTCTACATACGATGCGGTATAAATAGGTACGCTATAGAGTTCATTCAAAGAGTGGAAAAATTCGACTACCTCATACGGAAATTGAACCTACGACCTTATCAGGCGACTGTTAGGCACATTTGTGTTACATTTTTCACCTGAAGCACTCGATTTTCAAATTCTTTTGCGATCATATGTATAATAACACCATTAATGCGATATCTCCCTTATAACTTTAGAAATAGACTATGTTCATCCGCATCCGCATCTGAAGCATCCGCATCCCATGAATCTTGACCACTGTTTCAATAATATCTTGCTTAAGAAGATTTTTAGGGCCTGTTGTTTCATCACTTGCGATGCTTGTTGCTAAAGTCCCTGATAGGAACTTTTCTGTTAGATTACTACAACTCTGGCTTACCAATTCTCAAACTGAGATCACCTACTTATACAACAGATGAAAATGCACTTGTAACCATTGTTGAAGTTTTGTTGCAGTTAAACTCAACACACCATCATGGCATTCACGATGAAGGAAGGGGGGTTCGGGGTGGGGGACTACGTGGCATTCGGGATACTGTGCGCAGCCTCTTGCGCAGGCGGCATCTGGTACAGCGCCATGGGATCCAGGAGTAAGGCGATAGTGGACATCAAGGACTACTTGTTAGGTGGGAAGGCCATGTCCACATTCCCAGTTGCGATGTCACTTATTGCAAGGTGAGTGATGAATGAAATGAAAAGTGCAATGATGATAAGTACCTTGCTTCAAGGCAATTGTTTCACAATTGTATAAATGGGCTGTTAATACATTGACCAATACAATTTATTCCACGACATTCTACGTTAGAAAAAATCTATGGGAGTCAATTAGCAAACTATCCTAACAAAATAATAAGTCTTTTTTCGTAAATAATATTTTATATTGTGTCGTGTCGTGTCGTGACACGGGTGGTAGAAGGGCTCAAAGTAAAGTCACAAGTATAAAGATTTCTCTACTCATACGAGTATGGTAACGTAAGATGTTACAAAAGTAACAAGCTGTGCGTGACCCTACGGTTTTTTCCGCGCAAGCGCTTGTGATTTATATGGACATGTCAAGGGTGGGGCAGATAAATCTCAATAATTTAATACGCACGTTCTCATGAATGGATCGTTGACCAGAAGTAGAGCAAAAGAAAATATCTTAATTGTTCTACATTGCTCTCCCGTCTATTTGCATAGAGTCAGACCAAGGTTACATACAAGAGCCAGACGTACGAAGATAACGACAGATTAAAATTATCTTAAAATTAAATTATTAACAATTGTTTAAATGTTTATTTATTTTATGCTCTGGATATAATGACAGTGAGATTTCCACGTGTTTGTTAGCTCATAAGATTAAAGTTATTGCCATTAACACAATTCAAGTTTTATAGCATCGCCAGATTACTTACCGTGACTTAGTATTCTAGTACTGATAACGAAATGAATCATTCCAGTTATTACCAAGTCAATAATCTTGATTTGGTTAATTATGATTTTATTAAGATTATAATCTGTCTCACCACAGACGCTTTCTTTTATTAACTACAGTGGACCCTTAGTAATGTTTATCAATTACTAGCTGACCCGGCGAACTTTGTTCCGCCTTAATGGCAATAAATAAGCAGATTTTTTTTTATTTCGAACGGGATAAAAAGTATCCTATGTCCTTTTCCTGGCTCTAAACTACCTCCCTGACAATTTTCAGCTAAATCGGTTCAGCCGTTCTTGAGTTATAAGTGGTGTAACTAACACGACTTTCTTTTATATATTGTAATTTACATATTTTCGGGATTATAGGCGGTCTTATACACAGCATTGTAAATTCCGTTAAATCTGATAGTCGGAAAAGTTGTCGGATAACCGCGGGTTCACTCGAATATGTAGAGAAATGTATGTAGTATTTTTTTTGGGGGAGATCAATGTTCAAATTCCTGGGGCTGAAATGATGATGAATGTAGACTCTATCCGTAATTTTCGCGGAGGTAAATATTACAGCTTTACATTTTTTCCCAGTTATGTTTCTGGAGTGACAATCCTGGGAACCCCCGCGGAGATATACAACTACGGCACCCAGTACTGGCTGGTCATAGTGGGCGTGGCTCTCAGCTGTGTCGTCGTGGTGACGGTGTACCTGCCAGTATTCTGCACTTTGAGGCTATCGTCTTCGTATGAGGTAAGGTTTATTTAAGGCAGACTACATACTTTTTGTCGGCCGATAGTTTAGTCTGGCTGTTACACCGATTTGGCATGGGCCAATTCCCCATACGAATTAGAAAACGACCAAAAGCTCATAAAGTTTGTAACTTAACCTAACCTGCGTAGGTTCTCATTATCCGGTTTGTTCAGGTTCCTTCCATTGCTCTATGATCCGGTTATTTTCATTGTTTAGAAGCGTTAGTCGATAAGTAATTATGTTGTTCTGATGAAAATGAAACATTTTTATTTTATTTTATTTTTATTGTTAGGAAAACAAACATTGTAATGTTAACTGTATTAGTCAGCCTGCAGTTATTGCATTTCAGTTACAGACGAGATGTACCTTGTCATTGATTAAGATAAAGTAAAAGGTTATTTCATAAAATTGACTGAAACGTTATAGTCCAGTCAATGAATGCCTTAACGACGGTGTAGAGAGAAATCCGTGGAACACAATTTCTGACCTCGGGACTTTATTTAGCCTAGTTAGGTGGTGAACATAGCAAAAGTCCCCGCCCTTAGCCCTTGAGCCGGCGGGGAGAGGAGGGTTCAAAGGTATCACTTTTCGGTTTTTCGCTTAATCCTCGGAAACTATGCGTCCTAGTGACATGGCTACTATGAACCAAAAAAAGCTTATTCAATTTGCTACAGGTGAGACTGTCAAGTTTTTCTATATCTTGTATAGTTTTTACGGCATCTGCTCTAGAAGGTCTGTAAAATTGGAAATTTCATTGTTGTCTTACATGTTCCTTTCAGGAGAAACTCGACTAAATCAACATTGAACAAACACTATAGACATGCGGGAGCATGTTAAGCCTAGTTCCAGGGAGGGGACTGCACCGTTCGTATATTTAGACGAACCAATTAGAGCCACTTTTGACTCCTCATCATTCAAAAACTACTGTGCATTAACACTTCAAATTTGGCTTATGTATTGAGACTTGCAAGATATACATCAGCTTCAAATTTCATAAATATACCTCAAACGGTTATTTAGGTATTGACGTTCAAAAATCTACATGTCTGACCTATAGACCAAATTCTAACCACTTCCAGATGACCTCGAAGGTTCAAAAGACAAAAGTTAACATGCTCCCGCATGTCTAGAATGATTGCTCAATGTTGATTTAGTCGATTTTCTCCTGATGGGAACATGTAAGATAAAAATAAAATTTCCAATATTACAGACCTTCTGGAGCAGATGCCGCGAAAACTATACAATTTATAGAAAAACTTGTCGATCTCACCTGTAGCAAATTGAATATGCTTTTTTTGGTTCAAAGTAGTCATGTCACTAGGACGCATAGTTTCCGAGGATTAAGCGAAAAACCGAAAAGTGGCACCTTTAAACCCCCCTCTCCCCGCCGGCTCAAGGGCTAAGGGCGGGGACTTTTGCTATGTTCACCTCCTAACTAGTCTAAATAAAGTCCTGAAGTCAGAAATTGTGTTCTACAGTTTTCCATCTATAATGCTTTATTGACTGGACTATTAAGAATAATAACTAAACTTTAAAGCGTAGAATACAAAAATATAATTTTAAAATAGAGTTCAAGTTCCGTGTAAATTTTTTGGATGTCTGATATTTTATGCTTCAAAAACAGCTAAAACTAACGTTTTAAGGTACGTTACTCTACAACTGAACTGTACAAGATAGGAAGGCGCATCTTAAAGAATAATTTATCATCGTTTTTTCCTTGACATTGACTGTGAAGAGATTGTCCGGCTATTATACTTTATACAGTCGACGGCACATCCAGTTAAACACTTTGACTTCTTATGTAGTTGTAAAAGGTACTATAATCAATGATATTATAGAACTATAGATATGTTACGTTCATAGAAATTACGATTTTAATCCGTGCCGAGCTATTCCAAATTGCACACATTGACAAATGTAACTGATAAGTGAAACAAAAGATACGAAATAGCACGCAAATGAAAGAGATAGCTATAGTTTTAACGATTCTGCACTAACTAATCTATGTCCGCATCGCACGCATCCTTATCGCTCTAACGTCAAAACAAGATCGCTTTCTCTTTCTTAACTTGAACATGGCGCATGGCGTCTTGATTGTTTGCATAAATAATTGAAAATATAAATACTAAATAATTTTGCATAATCACATGTGGTAAGAGATCCCTTGTATTTTGTTTACTTTAGAGTCATAATTGGTACACTTTCGAAACACACACGATACCATTTTTTATTTATTTTGGTAAGAACACAGGAACTTACGGTGTGGTACGCACGCGATTGCGCACGACCCAGGCCACACGAAGACTAAACACAAGACGTCCCAATTGGGACGTATTTGAGTATTCACAGCGCGAGCGCTTATGACATATCTGCTTTTGTTTTTATATAATATCATTGACTATAATGCAACAAAAATGTATAGTTTGATGTGCTCTCGACTGTAATTAATAGTTACCTATTTCCCTTTGTATAGCGATAAGCTGCACAGTAACAAACTGCATCGTTAAAAACATAATCCATCATAATTGTTATGTTACTTAATTGCAATTTTTCCCCAATGTACGAGTATGCGGTAGGTAAATTTAATATTTTGTAATTTTTGCCCGTATTTACAAACGATGCTAGCTTAAGTGAAGCAGCAAATCGAACGCACAGCGTTGAATAGAGCTCTGTGATTGGTTTGTGTGTCACCCTGTGCGTCCACGCGCACTGTGAGACCTCATAGTAACGTTTATCTTTTGATTTAAAGCTTGTAATTTTAGTATGATTACTGGCGCTTATTTATGAGTTCCAACATCATATCTTTTATCTTGAATCTTTTTTTAATTTAAAAAGCGGGAACCATTGTGTCCATCGCATCTCCGTCATTGCTGTAGGTACACAAGTATTAAATTAATCGTACTTTGAACCTGTATGTTTAGGCTATACCTAACAAAGACCATCAACAAAAAAGTAAGCCGGTTGGATTGGTTTCCTAAGTTTAATATTATACGTAGCCTGTCTGAGTAAAGGTCGTTGATGCCTTTAGTTTGCATATTTTGTTAATATCGTTATCGTTATTAAAGGCTAGACGTTTACATGCTTTATGAGACATAGGACATTGCATGGTGCGGTCTTATACCTATGTACGTACAGTCAGCGTAAAATAATTCGCGACACCCAAAGTGGTCAAAAAGTTGACTATAACCTTATTTCAATTGTAACAAAAACGTGTTGTGTTGTGAACTTATTGACTATTTTGGGTATCACGAACTATTTGAAGCTGACTGTACATCACAATTTGTCATCAACAACAGCAAATAAAAGTGATTTCGTAGATAGAGTTCGACTCTACTAAACTTATAGCTTTTCATGGGATTGTAAAAGCCTGACATGTATTTGTAGCATGATCCTACTAATATCCTACTTAATATTATAAATGCGAAAGTTTGGATGTCTGGATGTCTGGATGTTTGTTGCTCTTTCACGTAAAAACTACTGAATGGATTTTGATGAAACTTTACAGTGTTATTGTTTATAACCCAGAATAACATATACATAGGCTATAATTTATGACGATCTGTGAGAAACTAAATTTCACGCGGGTGATGCCGCGGGCAAAAGCTAAAAAGTAATAAATTTTTGTATTGTTACAGTACCTCGAGCTGCGATTCAATCGGCACGTCCGTGCTGTAGCTTCAATACTTTTTCTATTAGATGAGGTAAGCACCGTATTTATTTTTAGTCAATTGATGTCACCTTGGCTGGTAAAAACTGTATTTTGAGTGTGATTTTAATAAGTGTACCTATACTATACAAGTAGGTACATGAACTTCACCTGTGAAGTAAAAAATGAATATGTTTGATAAATAGATTGGTCTAGTCCACGTAATGTCAGGTTATTTACAGATAATTATACACCGGCTAAATGCATCTTGTCTGTGAATTTTGTAATGATGTTTGTCTACTTTTGCGTCATTTCATATTGTTACATCATCAGCAGAATAAATAAGGGGTATTTTTATTTACCTAGAAACATGTTTGAACACATTATAAACTTATTATTCGCAAAAAGTTCTCCAATACATCTACTTTCTTATAGCTATTTTGTTTATGATGATCAATGTAAAATCGTTCATCAGAACACCAATTTTGTTTTCAGGTTTTTATGGAACTACTGTACTGACAGATAAATTACTGAACTTAGATATACTATACATTAGTATTAAGTACAAGTTAATTACATATAAATGATTGTAGGCATGCGAAATTGTTTGATTTATTTTGCTATTAATTACTTGATTCTGATCAGAGAATTAATATTGGTAGGCGTGTATTTAAAGATAAGATACCTTCTAAGAGATTTCAAACATTGTTAGGTAACTATCATGAATATGATTTATAAATATCTGTTCAAAATATCTACTTTCACTTCGTTAGGTGTTGTCGAGTCTAAATCTGTTACTATCAACTTTGCCCGACTTTTTTATGATCATGGAATTCTTTATAGAGTTTTAAACCGCTTATTATACCTTTCAGACTTGAATTTCAATAAATTAGTAAAAATATTGAAATTTAATCAATCACAAGTTGGAAAAGCGTAGGCAGTAGCTATCTACTCAAGTTGCTTCAACAAATCACTTTCAACTTGAATATTGCAAATAAAAATATTATTATAGCCGTTGCGACCAGGATACAGCTAGTATAAGGTCAACACCCCGGGTAGTCTGAGTGGATTCTATTCCAATAAGCGTTGTAAAATCAGCAATTCTTATTAATGTTGTTGTAGGTCGTTCGCTCGGCTTACAGCTACTTGCAACACGGACTTTGACCGGTGTCGTGTGAACGTCAATTGTTCGGCGTTGGCCGCCGCAATTGCCGCATTATTGGAAGGCGCCTAGATGTGGTGAACAATGATACTTATGCGCATGTGTAAAATTGTACTAATAAACAAAACACGCGCGATGGTACATCAAGATCTGTTCACGTTGATCTAAGTTACCGAATATTCTGACAGGTCAGCCAGCTCTACATATTTTTAAGGATACGGGATAGGAGGGTATTTTAAACAATCAGATAAAACTGCTTTTCAGTTGAAAACTAGAGGACTATTTTCCGGAAAATTTATGTTATTCCTATAACTTAGGTAGGCAGGTGTAAAAATGAAAAAAATAAGTAAAACAATACCTGTATTATAGTGTATGTATTTAAACATTAACACTATGAGGAGAAGCAAAGACCTAATAGCTTTTATTTTGCCGGGACGAAGACTAAAGATATCTGGGGGCACGGCAGTGCCCCCGCCAAGTCGAGCGCGAAGCAAACACTGCCGTACCATCCTTTACTGGAACCATTTCGCCGCATTTTCAGGCCCCTATTTGAGAACCTCTGGATAAGACCAGAACGCAGAAATTTTCGTCATCTAGTAAGCTATAATCACATACTTTAAATCCATAATTTCAAGTCTGTAGGTCATTTAGTTACGAAGTTAAGCGAAAGCAAAGTTTCGCATTTACGACACTCATGCCCGTTTTCACCATCAATCCCTAATTTTAAAGCGACTTTTATGAAATATTAGGCAATACCTAACAGGAATTTCGTTTTCACCAACACATAAGGGACACCTTAGGCCTTATGGGATCACTTTAAAACAGGGGCCCGATTTTCGGCCGCCTAAGTGTTAGGTGACAGTTAAGTATATTGTCAATGACGCTTATTCGGAAAAATGGAAACTGAATTAAATGATTTTTTTGAAGCTTTTTATGCAATTGAGACAGTGGAAACACTTTTTCACTCAAGTTTATTCAGGCGGCCACATAATAATATTATAGAGTGAGACAGGATTACATACGGTATAGATAGTAGGTATTGGTCACTCATAACTTCTCATAACCAAGCTATATTTCTGGCTTCGTTTGTAGTCCCTAGAGCCCTAACAATACCTTATAATTAGATATAATAAAGATTTGATAGGAAGGAGGGCTGCACTAAGGCTTTCTTGGCCTCAGTGGGGGTAAATGAAACACAACGCGGGCGGTTGACATCTGGTTTATTACTGTTATGCTATTGCTATATACAAGATTTACACAATTCAATGTGTCCAGTCCAATGTGCCGTCGGTGTAGAGTGCCTACGGTGCACGTTGAGGGTTCATGGGCCAGTCGGCTAGCACGTAGGTCGCGGTCGATGCTGACGTGCTCGTACAGTATCCTTGTGGGCAAGTAAAATTTTAACCAATTTATATTTTTCCTTGAGGGAAAAATTTTGCTTCATTTCTTTTTCCGTTGTCGTTTTTATCGTTAAATCGCAAAACTACACACAGAACTCAACAAAATATCTATCAAAATCAAGATGTATAGATGACCCACGCTGAACTGTCCCACCAAACTCAGTGACAGGGGGGCGCTACCATCGTTCAACTTTATGGTTTCCAACATGGCAAAAATCTGAACCAGCGATCCGGTATAGACGGTGGCGCCCCACTGTCAATGTCATCGACAGGACAGTCCAGTATTTTGGAACTATACATTTATTTTTATTTTCATTTACTGTGGTGCAGCAGTCATCTTGACATTTACTTTTTTTAAGGCAAAGGAATTCCATTATGCACCCAAACCACAGATTACATAATAGCCCAAATGTCTTTTTTGACTTTGATAATAACTCAAAAATACAAAAAGACATTAGTTTTGGTCAACTATTTCTTAGTTTTACTTTTATTTCATTTGTTTCTGTGAAATACGTAAGATATTCCCAATAAAATATTTTATCGGAAAGTACCGGTTTTTGAAACGTCACTAGGCGCACGAAGAAACGCCACCTGACAAAAGAGTCCCTACTTAGGTTTACTATAGCATGGTGAAAACGAACTTAGGTTAGTGGACAGTTTAGGCGATCGTTTAACCAAAGTGATATTTAGTTAGCAAACGCTTATGGGATTGATGGTGAAAACGGGCATACAGATTACATAATAGCCCAAATATCTTTTTTGTCTTTGATAATAACTCAAAAATACAAAAAGACATTAGTTTTGGTCAACTATTTCTTAGTTTTACTTTTATTTCATTTGTTTCTGTGAAATACGTAAGATATTCCCAATAAAATATTTTATCGGAAAGTACCGGTTTTTGAAACGTCACTAGGCGCACGAAGAAACGCCACCTGACAAAAGAGTCCCTACTTAGGTTTACTATAGCATGGTGAAAACGAACTTAGGTTAGTGGACAGTTTAGGCGATCGTTTAACCAAAGTGATATTTAGTTAGCAAACGCTTATGGGATTGATGGTGAAAACGGGCATCACTCACTCACTCACTCACTCATGATCATCAAAATAGAACTAGTACTTCCCATTAACTCAGAGGGCTGAAATTTGGTACAGAGTTAGGGTTTAATGGCCACATAAAGGGAAAACTATAAAAACTAGGAAAATCGAAGATCTGGAGTAACCACAGGGGTCAAGTCATACCCAGTTTCGGGCCGGGGGGGGGGGGTAAATCATACCCAACTTCTGGCCGAGGGGGAAGTCATGCCCAGCTTATGACCTGGGGAGAGGAGGGGGGCTGGGGAGTCATACCCAGCTTCTAGGCTAAGATCAAATAGATTTCCAGGAGGGAGCAGCTGTCCTTTCCTGCAGCAGCTGGCCCGCCCATGGAAACGGCGAATAGATAGGTAGGTACGTAGGTTTAACTCAGAAAAACTAAATAACATGTAGGTATTGCGTGTACATCGAAATGATCTTCATAGCAATGTCTTGTAGCCTAGGCAGAGTGTATCTGCCTCAGCTATACCTTATTGTTAGAAGTAAATAAATTAATACTTATACATTTTTATATTTTACTTGGAAGAAGATGTGACTCTAACAACACTTATGAACACTTTATTTGAATAAATCGCCAAATATACCACCGCGGAGACCCCAATCGCGTCTCTGCGTTCTATTGAATCGTATGAGCGTATGAATTTTTTGCGTTATTTTTCACAATTTCTATTTTTTAAAATTACCTATCGATAGCTTACTTTATTCTGATGAATAAATGTCATTACAAGTTTTTCTCTAAAACTGACAGTTTGGCGAGAAAAAAATATTTTCTATCCACGCAGTACGCCGGCAGCGTTCGGATCGGATATAATGACGTCATCGTCCCCGCGCCGGGCGGTCAGTGAACTTTTTTAGTAATTTGGCCATAACTTCGTCAATTTTTGTCGTAGAACAAAAATTTTTGGACTGTGTATTAAGGATTTCTTAGCCCTATAAATCTGCATTCACAGCTAAAAATCGAAATGATCCTCATTACATATACACAGTGATTTGTGTATATCTTGTCATTAATCATGATTCATGAGTCAATACACATTATGTACTCGTACTTACCTATTTTTATTTACTTTGCACCAACGTCAATGATGACGTTTAAAATTATAATCAATGCAGATATTTTTTTATCACTGACAAAATTTTACATGAAAGATCATCATTTTAGGCTGTTTGTGTTAAGTCAGCATCAGCATATAAATTGACCGGCTTCATGGGCCTTGACCGCAATTTAAAGAGGTCATTTACGTAGATATTTGCGACACTCTTCCGTATGCAAGAAAGGTAGAGCCTCGTATATTTGCCTTTAGGGTTTAAACAAGTAGCATTTGGAAAGTAACAACACGCAAAGAACGCAGTATTTTTTTCATAAATCACAGAGCAGTTAATTTACAGTTAAGATAATAATAAAATTGATTGTAATGCTTTCTTAGTCATTTATGTGCCGTTCGCTCACGCACGAGGTGCGATGTATTTAATCTTACTACTACTCGCATGATGCTTTAGGTGCCAATTGTATGCATTCCTGAATCACATGTTATCTATCGATGGTTTATTTTAAGATACACATGAATGAAAGTGATACACGCCACTAACTGTCACAATTATAATATCGTGAATTTACGCTTTTCCGTTTGATTTACGGACTGCAACCCCGACTGTGGTTTCTTTGATTTCCACATGGTACAAATGTAAAGTTTTGAACGCAAGTCAGTATAGTTCCAAAATACTGCCCCCCTAGACAAAACGCACTTTTTGATCGAATCGAAAATCGAATCCGTCAAAACTCAATACAAAAAAGGGGCTTTTCGACCACTTTTCGACTGGTTTGCGATTATAATTTGCACTTTGTCTAGACCCACTGAACTGTCCTATCCATGACATTGACAGTGGGGCGCCACCGTCAATACCGGATCGCTGGTTGCGATTTTTGCCATGTTGGAAACCATATAGTTGAACGATGGTAGCGCCCCCCTGTTTAGTGGGAAAGTTCAGCGTGGGTCATCTATAATTCTAAATGACGTTTAATAACGTCATTGTTAATTTTTAAAATGATATATTTTAGTAGGATTACTCGTTATCTAGGTGGCATAGCACAAGCTCTACCGACCGAGTTTGGGGTTAGGTAATAGAGTATACCTATAGTGAACTTCATTCCCATGTCACTATTTCAATTGGTCAATTTAAGATGGATGAAACAAATGCCTGCCGTTTGTTTACCAGCAAATTAATATACACTTTGTCCTCGTGGACTTTAACCGGTTGTTATTTGCCCCTACTTATGATTCCATTATTTGATAGAACATCTTGTTTGGTACTTTTGCCTCAGAATACATAATGGTACTTTGCATGCAATATAGGTATTTGCTCAGTTGTTAATGATTTGAAGATGTCGCTTGAGGATAATATTTAAAGAGCTATGTAAGCAGCTACTTAATGTACAAATAATATTGTTCCAGGTACTATTTCTTCCTATGGTCGTGTATGTTCCAGCATTAGCATTTAACCAATGTAAGTCATCGTTAAACCTTTAGACGCGGTTTTACATAATAGTGATTGATAGCTTCCCGTGTGGTAGAAAACATTATCAAAAACATGTTATCTAATGCTTATGTGCTAAACAACGTCAACGTGGATATGACTAAAAATAGCATTCCTTCTTAGAAAAATACAGCTCATGGTACTAAATTTAAAACTTTCCTAATTGCATAAGCCGGTAATTATTCATGCAATATTTACGCGCCTTTTTGCGTACTTTGGCCCGCTCAATGTTAAGGATATTGAGATAAAAACACCAAAGAATAGGCGATATCTATAAATCCTTTTTTTATCGCGTTGTACGACTTGCGAATGCGGATTTAGGCGAGAAATGCGGCTTATCGTGTTTATAGCATTGCAGTTTGCACGGTTATTTCCCCGTTTTTGCCCCCGATGCGATCTTCAGATGTTTTTATTGTTTTCTTTTCAGTGACGGGACTCAATGTATTCGCCGTTGCAGGGATCATGGTCCTCATTTGTGGACTGTACACAGTGTTAGTGAGTATCGGACATCTGCATTGCAAATGTAAATGTGTTGTTCAACTTCTTGTTTATACAGAATTACAGAAATATTTCGATTGCTTTTTATTATTGAATAGTAGAGTCGTTTTACGATAATTTAATTTGGAACCAAAATACCTAGCAGGTTACAGTTTTCGATACGATAAAATAAATTTTGGTAAACATTATTTATAAATAAATTTGACTCAATAGCCGAGTAGAACGTTGAGCGCGATCTTAGATTCGATTCTTGGTCCTTTAAGGGCCTATTAACAAAACAAATTTTGACTCTCTTTTGAGCACTGAGAGACGGGCCCAGCCAAACTCTAATCTGTTAAAGTAAGTTACGCATGTCGAGATCATTATAGTAAGTTGTGTGTGTGTAGCACATTCTTTTGTTTTTAATTAGGAATATTCAAAAGACATCTTTGTTTGCTAGGGTGGTCTCCGAGCTGTGGTGTGGACGGACTCGGTTCAGACCGGGGTGATGTTCATAGGCGTGATCCTGGTGGCCGCTGCGGGGACCCTGGCCGTTGGAGGGGTCAAGGCTGTGCTTAGTATAGCCAGCGACTCTGGGAGGATAGAACTTTCAAAGTAAGTCCCTAAATAAAATCAGATAAAAAAAGCTTTCAAAGTAAGTGCAAAACAAAACGTCAGTTTTGAATACAAAATAGTCAAAGTTTCCCCAAGTCAAGAATACAGAATTTTATTATGACAGGTTTCTTAACCTTTGGAGTCTTGGTTCCAAACATTTGTTCGCTATGCGTTGTTCAGTCGGTTTGGTTTTGGGCTGACACTGTATTAGGTTTGTTGTCGACACGACAAGAAGAAGAGTCGGTTTGGTGCCAGATTAGGAAAGGCATCGTAGACCAAAATAAACAATATCTCAAAATAAATGTAGAATCATTATTACATAACTGATAGTTTCTTTCTAACTTTATTTCGAAACACCAGTTCTATAGTTCACGTTTCTCTTACTTTATTTCGATACACAAGTTCTAAAGTCCACGTTTCTAAAGAACTTTGAAGTGTGTGAATATACTTATTTGGTGATTAAACATGGAATAAGGTAAACAAACACCTTTGTTGTTGCCAATCAGTTTTGGTTGTTGACTCTCTTGGCTAATGTCCGATGGAGTAGAGGGCGTCCACGGTGACCGTCAATCAAAATTCTCTGAAATGATTTTTAATATAAATTCAATTTCAGTAAGTATTTTAAAACCATGATGGGAAAGATTCAACAACTGACGATTCGTTATATTGCGATTTTTACTTTCACTTGTCCATGCAGCTCTTTGTACAAAGGTCAAGTGCCAGTTAGAATTAGACTTAGGCTTCTGAAGATCTATATCTCTCTCTTCTGACATTCCATCGAAATAACATGGGTTAGGTTGGCAAAATGGGTGGGATTGTTTAGTCCTTTTGAGGTACGGAACCCTTATAAATTATAGACAAACATAGCATGGACTCGAATTAATTTTGTATTCCTAGTTGGAGCTTCTCCCCCTACGAGCGCCAGACAGGATGGGGCGCGGTCTTGGGAGGGTTCTTGTACTGGACGTGCTTCAACTCCGTCAACCAGACGATGGTGCAGCGATACATTTCCCTGCCCTCGAGGAGACAGGCTGTTGCGTAAGTGTCTTGTATCTTTTAAGTAGTTTTATGCCAGTTTTCACCATCAATCCCAAATTTTTATGTGACCCCTATGATAACACATATCAGGAATTTTGTTAACATAGGGGTCAAATAAAAGTCAATCAATCCCTAGATGGTGAAAACGGGCATTAGTGCTTTAATTTGAGTTACTTAACAACCGTTTTAATTATACTTGAAATAGTTTGGTAACTATTTTAAACTATTTATAAATATATTTTATTGTTATATTCCTGAAAATCACTCGACTATTGTGGACAACGCGCTTTCAACAACACATGTTTATGTAGGTAGGTATATGTAGCTTACTTGGACGGGGTTGACAAGGATAGTGGTAATTTGTTTACGACTAATTAACCTATTTTAACCTTTAAAAATGTATTTCGAATGACAGTAAGTTAATATCATGAATAAAAATAACTTGTTTTTGTGTTGATATATTTTTTGGAAATATTCCGATACGTTATTAGCTGCAAGCTGATTCAGTCATTTAAATAGTTAGCATTATTCAGATAATATAAGGATGATCAGTTTAGGGATAAAATAAAATTTACGATAGAATTTGACCTATTTCACAAAATGTTTTAGCCCCTTTCAACCTTTATTTTGTTCCATCCCTCAGTGCGATTAGCATATTCTGCATCGGAGCCATACTGGCGATCTCCCTATGCGTGTGGTGCGGACTGGCCGCCTGGGCAGTATGGGTGCAAGGCGGGTGCAGTCCTGGTGCAGCGCCTCTGGTGGACGACAGGCTACTGCCAGCCTTCGTGACCTATATCTCGAAGCAGCAGCACTTGCCTGGGCTAGCTGGCGTGTTCCTGGCTGGCGTCTTTGGAGCTGGGTTAAGGTACGTTGAGAAAAAGGGTTGCACACCTATAGCTATAAGCGAGAAGTCGCTTGACCTTGACCGCCTGGGCAGTATGGGTGCAAGGCGGGTGCAGTCCTGGCGCGGCTCCTCTACTCGTCCACTAGGACGACAGACATCTGCCAGCCTTCGTGACCTACATCTCCAAGCAGCAGCACTTGCCTGGGCTAGCTGGCGTGTTCCTTGCTGGCGTCTTTGGAGCTGGGTTAAGGTATGTTGAGAAAAAGGGTTGCAAACCTATAGCTATAAGCGAGAAGTCGCTTGAACTTGACCGCCTGGGCAGTATGGGTGCAAGGCGGGTGTAGTCCTGGTGCAGCGCCTCTAGTGGACGACAGGCTACTGCCAGCCTTCGTGACCTACATCTCTAAGCAGCAGCACTTGCCTGGGCTAGCTGGCGTGTTCCTTGCTGGCGTCTTTGGAGCTGGGTTAAGGTACGTTGAGAAAAAGGGTTGCACACCTATAGCTATAAGCGAGAAGTCGCTTGACCTTGGCCGCCTGGGCAGTATAGGTGCAGGGCGGGTGCAGTCCTTATGCAGCGCCTCTGGTGGACGATAGGCTTCTGCCAGCCTTCGTGACATACATCTCTAAGCAGCAGCACTTGCCTGGGCTGGCTGGCGTGTTCCTTGCTGGCGTCTTTGGAGCTGGGTTAAGGTATGTTGAGAAATAGGGTTGCAAACCTATAGCTATAAGCGAGAAGTCGCTTGACCTTGGCCGCCTGGGCAGTAGGGTGCAGGGCAGGTGCAGCGCCTCTGGTGGACGATGACAGGCTACTGCCAGCCTTCGTGACCTAGATCTCTAAGCAGCAGCACTTGCCTGGGCTAGCTGGCGTGTTCCTGGCTGGAGTCTTTAGAGCTGGGTTAAGGTACCTGAAGATAAACGGTTGCAAACCTATAGCTATTGATGAGAAGTCGTCTGAACACTTGGCTGACCTACATCTCAAAGCAGCAGCTCTTCCCGGGGTTGGCTGACATCTTTGGAGAGGGGTTAAGGTAACTTATGATAAAAGGTTGCTATAGATGAGAACTTGAGAAGTCATCTGAAGTTCTGAACACTTGTCTGATACTTCGTGGATTCAACTGATCAGTTAAGACAAAAGAAGCTGTTGAACACTTGACTGTCGCGTCATAGTCTGGCGAAGTCGTAGAATACTAGAGTCTAGCTAGACGATTAACCGTTCTAGCTGCTAGACAATTTGAGTGGATATGATAATAATCACGTGTTCACGATCACTTCAATGAGACAATTTGGTGATAAAATTGACCAAGCACTTGATTGTGTATTGTTTTTTCTCATTTGTCACAATATTCCTTACTTTCAGCTCACTATCAGCAGTACTAAACGCATGCGCTTTGGTAGCCGTTGAGGATATCATGCACGGCTGGCTGAGGATACACCTCAAGCCTTTGACCGAGGGCATCATAGCACGTCTGGTGACGGGCCTGTTGGCCATCATCTCCATTGTAATGCTCGTCGTCATTGCCAAACTGGGTGGTGTCCTTGGTAAGTTGACTTCATTTTAGTTCGCGTAAAATGCAATCTTCCCTTATGTTTTTTTATTCAGTCCAAAAATACAGAAAGCTAAAGTGGCAGCGATCAGGTCATTTGTCGTAGAATCAATGAAAGTTGGACTATGCAGTTCCTCGAGTAGAGACCATGTTTTGACAAGTGTGGTGTAAAATGTTCTCTCACTCAATGGAATAAAGATAGCTGTCAGTAGCTGGATAAAGATGATGAATAATGTTTTGTGTGGTGTTCAAAATTTTTGATCAACGGTTCAATTAAATTGAAAAACATAGTGAATTAATATCAGAATAAGGATTCCTTGTATTCTTAAAAACAGAGTTGCTACTGTACCTACCGTAGCTTGGGAACCGATAAAACGATAGTTATTCCGTTTTATGTTTAATAAAATCATAAGACGATTTGTGTCTTAGATAATGCCAATCTCTGTAGCTCTACAGTAGGATTTTACAGTAGTTCATTGACTCAAGTTACTTACAATGAGAACGCTGTGTGGTAGTGGCTTAATTTTAATCTAATTTGGTGGTATCGATCTGCGTAAACCAACAAATCCTGTTTGACGCTATCTCTGATAACGAAGTGCGTTTACGTTTGCTAAATGTAATCTTTATTGCGTATTTTAAATGAACATAGAATGTCGATATATTATGTCACAGCACTTAGCTGCTATCTCCTGACTTATGTATGATTCAGTTCTCTTCTTTATCTGATTATACATTTTTGAAGTTGTAAATCCGTCTTCTGCTGAGTATTTGATTTGAAAAGGATGTTTAGAGCAAGTTATTTAAAAACAATATCTATTTATCAATAACGATTGTTCATCTTGTACCGCGATGAGACTGGAATTTATTCATATTGGCATAAAACTTCTGGTAATCCAAACGTTGCTATGCACAATGCACATAGTACCTACAATCATCAAAATCCATGATTTGTTAAGATAACATGAAAACATCCCGGATGTTAAAATTGAATTCAGTGTGACGTAGTGTTTCCGTGGTTTTCTTACAGGCGTAGCAACAGCTTTATCAGCTATCGCCGCGAGCGCTACCTGTGGTATCTTCACGCTGGGTATGATGTGCTGGTGGGTGGGCCCCCGGGGGGCCATCGCGGGGGGCATCGCGGGGGCCGTCGTGGCTGGGACAGTATCTCTGGGCACCCAGGCTGCAGCTGCCAAGGGCTTGAGGGCCCCTCCCTTGAATCTGACTATGGAGTGCGCGAAGAATTCGTCGTTTGTCTTCGAGAATGATTTGGTAAGCAATGATGACTATGATACAACATCGTCCAAGTATCTGTGTTGTGTTGTAATGTGTTGTAACAAATTATATGTTTTGTTAGATTTTCTTGAAATTAAACTACGTTTACTGTTAGACGTCTTCAACTTTGTTTTTCACACTGATAAATGTTTGGCGTGCTATTGAGCCGCGCAAAACTGCACCCCCCAACTGCTACGGTTTTCAAATGATGTTCCAAATTACAAAGTAATCTTGTCTTCGATCTGAGACAAAGCAGTTGACAGAGGTTGCACAGATATGAGACAAAGCATAGGAGAGGATATCAATAGCGACTGAGTTTCTTGTAATGCTTTTTCTCAGCACTGGCCTGTTTATTGTCCCGAAGCAGTGGTAGGGTTAATACTAGGACGTGTAAAAGTGCTTCTTAAAAGTCTATTTGCAAAAATAAATGAGTTTTATGACTTAAAGCACTCCCTCCACTTAATCTTTGCTACTCTTATTTTTTATATTACTTAATTGTCCCACAGGATCCTGAGACGATATTCCCCCTATTCCGTTTCTCGTACCACTGGATAGCGCCGCTCGGTCTTCTGGCTACAGTGACAGTTGGCGCGTTAGTGGGCTGGTTCTTCGACAAAGACACTGACATGAAGTTAGACCAGGAACTATTCACGCCAATAGTCTGGAAGATACTGCCCAGGGAAGCCAGGGAAAGGGCAGGGGAGACTAGAAGGGCGCTAGCGCAAAAAGTCGAGTCTCCGAGGCCATCTTCGCCGCTTATCATGGCGAGGAGTGCGGATAAGGTATGAAAGAGTATTAAATGGTAAAAGTTTCCTTGTCTCCTGATTTCAGCTTCTTTACCAAAAGTACTTGTATTTTTATAGGAGAAACATCTCTAGTGTATTGTAGTGTATCTTGTCTCAAACAGTCATATTATAGATTATAGTACAAGCAGTGTCGATAGAGCAACAAATAACTTATCATTGCAATTGTTAGGATAAATTGGCAGGAGTAATAGATGTAAAACAGTTTTGTTTCTGCTGTATACCATGTACTTATTTGTAATATTAAACTTTATTTATTTCAGATTGAAATGAACGGTCAGGCCAGTAGATGAAAATGGCAATTTGACAAGGCGGTGATGCTGAAATTTAAGTATTTATTTCATAACTAATGATAACATTGATAAAATAAGCAAAATGCTTCAACTTTTGGAGCTAAACGTAGTACAATAATGTACGAAACTAATTATTTTCTTTATGCGATGCGATGTATGTGAGAATTAAGTACATATCGATATCGATATGTCGATGGTTTTTTCCATTTTCTGACTGTATATTCAGGACTGGGACCAATCCATTTATAATCCATCAATGTACTGGTGTTCATTTGATACCAAGTTAGTGAACTTTAAAGTGCCTAAATTTTATAGTTGTTGCAATGTTTGTTGAGACATTTACGAGATCTTGTGAATCTTTATATTAGATTTTGTACAAATGTTGTAAATATGTATGTATTTGTGTATTATAATATTGTTAATAACTGTAGATTTATTTACGAAGTAGGTAATAAACATCATGAAATTAAGGACATTAATTATTAAAGTTAGTGCGGTCTGCCATCTAAAATAATTGTTTACAAATTGAATCTTGAAAAATATCCGTATTAAAGATTAGATGATTGCCTTAGATGACTTAAGTAAATTATTATCCAATATTTTGGCCATCTTGTTAGAAAAAAAGCCTTTGGCTTTAGAATTAGCTTCACTATTTATTCGATAGAAAGTAATTTAGTTTTTAGCAATTTAATTGGTATTAGATTTGTTAAGATTGCTTTAGTTGTAGGTTTGCAGCATTTTGAATATTAGTTAGTAGGAAAAGGAATAGTATTTTTCTAAAATCTTTTGTCTCAGTATTCTTGGTACTTAAATAGTAATAAAATTGTATTAAATGCAACTAAATTGAATATTTGATATCGGTGCTAGGTAATAGGATCGAAATATCTTAATTTTGTACGTGAAAAGTTCGAATAATTTTGTTTAAATGATTAGTTCTTGACGCACAATATTATAATAGTTTGTAACATTAGAATTTTCACAAAAGCAGCCATTCCTCATACATCAGCATTTTAATTTTTAATTTATAACAATTAAAACAATATTGGGACTGCCTGATATTATCTTGAATAGTAAACAGCCTAATTTATTTCAGCTTTATTTCAGTACTATACTTCTTCTTTACATTTTCTTAGACCCTTACTTACATGCGTACAGATGGTTCCGTATACCTATTATACTTGCAAATAATAAATAACTTGTTTGAAAATTTCATATGTCTAAATAACACTTTTATTTTCGAGTAATAGATAAAAATTAAAAATTGAATACTTTAAAAAAAGCTTTTAGGTTTTATTTTAGATCGCACGCAACTAAACCTCAATTTTACTGACTTACTAAAACTAAAAATGTGATAACATAGAAGAAATCAAATTGTGATCTTGTTGAAATAGCAGACGTATATGAAAATGTGTAAAATATTGTGTAATATAATATGTATTATTTTTCTAATGGTGATACGTACGTAAGTAATAAAACATATTTTTAGAAATGGACTTGTTGACGTTGAATTATTGTAGAAATTGTACAATTTGTATGATATAATGTATTATGGAATGTACTGTTTACATTAACAATTCGCATATTTTTGACAGTATCAATGTACCTGACTGAGCGATGCGAATATTTAAATTGTTATCATGTTAGGCTGTTTTTAAATAAATTAATGTAATATTCATACTTTTGTGTTATTGGTATTCGAAGAACGTCTGTGGGGGAATTATTTTAACTGCAAAGTTGTCGAGCGTTGTCGCAGAAGAAGCAAATAGTCAGGTGTTGCTAACTGTTGGCGCTCGGGGACACTGGGACAGGCTTGGAATCAAGAAAAAGACTGAAATTTTATTTTGTTACTTAATTTGCTCGAACAATTCCATGAATTTTTGTGCCTTATGTAGCGCTGAGAAAATGCTTACATAATTATATTTAGTTCTCTACAATTCTTATATTATAGTCGATGGCCAGCGAAAGGGGCAACCTCCCTTGATGTGACATATTCAATTCGAGATCGAGATAAGTAAAATAATTAGCGATTGAAACCTGCAAGCATAGGGTAGTCTAGAATCGTATCTTAGGTAGGTACTCAGTTTCTGAGGCTTTCATTTAGAATGAAAACGAACCGTCAGACTACATCTGCTAAGAATAGAGTTTAAAAATAAACTACTACAGTGAAAAACATATTTTCTCAATATAATTTTCAGATCCTCCATCCGTGCCTGGCTTTCCCCAATTTGTATGCAGCACACAAAGCGTCTATTAAAACTGTTCAAAACGCAGGATTGCGCGCATTCGCATTCGTTACGTACGCCTCCATAATTCATTCCATGCACACACCCTGTATTCCGGATTCCAGGGGATGTGTGATTTCAGGTGACAATGCTAGTACGCGTAACAGTGATTTAACTGTATTGTGCGGCGGTTAAAGTAGTTGGCGCAAGTTCGTAATAGTTGGAACATATTAAGTAAATTCATCTTACGTAGGTAATGGTTTTACTAGCTTAGGAGGATATTCATGCTATTCTACCTAAGTTACGAATATCAGGGAATAAAGTTTATCTGGTGTCATGCATTTCTTAACTATCCAAGAGTTTGAGAATTAATGCATTTAAGTATAATATGATTTGAAATAAATTTTATTAGGTGAAATTTAAATTTGAAACGTTATTTTATTCTCCCTGGCAAATACAATCCTTTTACTGCCTAATTCCTAGATGCCTTAACCTCGTAAGACCGAAGAGCAAATTTTGTCGACTTCTAAGTATCGCCGAATGTGCTTTCAGAAGAACGAACAATTTGAAGTCGTAAACGCCGAGCACTTCGAGTAAAAAAATTTCTATGTTAGAGATTTTCTTTTGCACCCATATTTTCAGGGACCCTATATAATAGTGTATAGAGCTTATTTTAGGTAAAAAATAATAAAAAAATGTTTTCTCTTAAAAGAACATTCGGTATTACAGACTTTAAAAAGAAAAAGTAAATAAATTGTATTTTATACTTTAAAGTAAGACATAAATGTAACCTCCTTAATAAATTAATACTACATAAAGATACAATAATGATAAAAATAAATGTAACTGAAAAGGCACAAGTATTTTAATTTTATTTAATGTTTCATTATTAGTACTTTTAAAAGTACTATCGGTTTTATAACACACAATAATGATAGGTTAGAATGTATAAGAAGTAAAGTGAATATTCATGTTAATTATAATATTTATTTAACTAAAAATCAGAACGTTCTTTTGGTAAATTTTCTCAATCATATCATAATTTTAAAAGTCCAATATTCAATCCATCTTAATAGAAAAAATATACAAAAATAAAACTTTCACCATCAAGACCGAATGTTCCTTGCAAAGAACTATTATTTTCAAACGAAAAAAAATGTTACAAAACTTCTTCGAATTGGTAAAATTTTTTTTTTGCTTGTTTAGCAGTATTTTAACTTAAATTATACTGGTTAGTTTTTCAATTAAACTACGTTTACGTGAAGAAAAAAAATTAATCGTACATCACGTCCTCTCGAAAGGACCACCTTGTCAAAGAAAAATGATAATTTGACAGTGACATTTTGTTTTTTTTACATTAATAAGTTCGGATACCTGATTTTGAATACTTTAAGCCATAGACTATCACTCTTTTTATTCAATAACCGCAAATTTTTGAACTTAAAATTATCGCTAAAGTTTTAGTTCCTCTGAGGGCACATCCGGCGATACTTACAATTCACCTCCGAAAATGTCTCGGCGTTACTGACTACAAAGTTTCAGTTCCTCCTGAGGCACATCCGGGCTTACGAGGTTAAACAAAACAGTTGACAATAAAACCGCGTATTCTGACAAAAAGCGTCGTAAAAGTGATTGCGGTTTGTAACAGCCGAGCATCTCGGGCGGAGGCTCGTAAAGCTTGTTTAATTTCTGGCAGTTGGCAGGCATTAAATATGCGTAAAACAAAAGCCCTATTGATGGTGCTTAGCAAACAAAGTGGGCGGGGGTCGGTCTTGCGGTCGGTTATAGTTGAGTAACGGTTGCGGTCAACATCATAAATTAATCCGTAACTGTACGGTACTGCGAAGTCATCGACAAAAGGTTGCTGAGGTAATAAATAAACGGCATAGAAGTTAATGTTTAAACAATGCACTGCACTTTGCCGACTAAGACCGACTACCATCAGTTTCCTATCATACAGTTTCACAGTGGTCATTCTCCATTTTTTTGAGTCCTTAGGTAAGTAAGTATGCACAATATCTAGTGTAAATTGTAGAAGCAGTAGGGTGGTATGTACTACGAGTATTCCTGCAAAGATATAGTCTATTTCTTCTTGGTTTGAGGAGTTTCAGTTCAAAGAGTTTGGTCTGTTGGCAACTTTGTACGGGCGGGTAAGAATTTTAACAAAATTGGGATGATATACACTAACTTGCGTCTGTGAGTGAAAGATTGTCGGAAAAAGGTCGTGCCATTCCTTCGCTCATAACCCGAGGTGTGAGCTTGTAAAATAGTGATGGCAATGCCACTTCATGGCGGCGATTTTCTGCCTGCAGAAAGAAGCTTCAAATAAAGTGGAATCCTCGATCAAATCGTGCGAATCCAAAACAGGCAATGTTTTTGAGTAATCTCCATGCACGGATATTTAATTTAGGAAAATTATTTCCAGAAGTACCTAATTGAATGACCATTACTCGAAAGGGTGTTGTAAAACCAACCAATTTTTATGGTTCCGCGTTTGAGCGTAAATAGCAATTTGTAACGTCACAAGTTGGCTGTAACGACGCCACCCGCCGCGGCTGTTACGCGGGATGAGTTTATAGTACTCGTAAAAAGCAGCAGACGCCAATTAATTAATGATCCGACTCCAAAATGAATTGCCCAATCGGAAGCCGAGGTGTTCCGAGGTATTTCTTGCGAGGTTCCTTGAAATTTTATTGTTCCATCCATTTTAAGTTGACATCGTGCGTGACGTGATTTGTTACGTTCGTGGTTACATGCGTTACAAAAGTTTTATGTTATGATTAGGCGTGGAGTTTACAGCACCTTCGTCTGTGTCGTTGTGATATTGGCACGTGCGTGACGCAATAAGGCATTTTATCGCCAGGTAAAGTTACTGAAATTAGTTATAAGTTACTAATCAATTTGCTATCTTTAGAGCATGAATCAAAGTAGGACCTCTCCGAAAGTTACAACAACTTGAGAGTTTTAGTAAGATTTTTTGTTTAATGATTGGACCGTAATATAATTACGTTTTTTAAGCGTTTCTACCGAGTAAAAGTTAAAGATAATTTTCCTGAAGAGAGCTCTAAAGAACTGTATAGAAACAATAGTTTTTTACGATATGGTCCCCAATAAAATCGTGAAACAAAACTGTCTTAAGAAGTCGCGAAGCATTGTGTGAAAGTCCTTATCAGGGATCACCCCTCCCCCAGCGGTCATTGGTCAGAGCGCCGCTCATTTACGCCCCCAAATTGCGAAAAAACCCACACCATCTAAGAATAGGATTTTTGTGGGACATTTGTTTGCTTATCGCATTGTCTGAGGCAATAAAAGTTATGTGAAAATAATGCTAATTTTATTACGATAGACCAGAGACGGTACTAACTTCAAGTAACTGCAGTGTGTGGGAGATCACCTAGTGAATTAGCGAATGTACTTACCTATCTCAATAAGACGAGAAATGTTAAGAAGAACTTTAGTTTTATGGTAGGAATTTTTGATAAATAGGAACAAGCAAACACTGATTTTGTTTATTACATGAACGGGATCTTCAAGCTTTTGCAGCATAAGTAGCAATTTAATTTGTTTCTTTAAGTTTTATCCAAAACTAAAGGGACCATGTTGTTATCGAGGTAAATATCCACCATTTTCTTTCTTATTAAATTGGTACCTATCAACTTTACTTATAGAGTTATTATTATCTAAAGGTCTCATACGAGACATAATAGTAAAACAATAGTGCAAGTAACAATAATAGGCTTGGACCAGCTTCTTGACAGTCGTTATATTCTACTCCAATTAACCAATTTTATTCATACTTTAATTACTTGGTTTTTGTATAAACCAGCAATCATAACTTAACAATCCTTTTCCCTTTTTATTTGCACAATTAAATGTCGTATTCAATTAATACAGCCATTATGACTTAACTGTCTTCAATAAACACAGTTATTTGTTACGCAATAAAAAAGCTTGCACAGAACTTAATTTTTCAATCAATTTAATTTTACTTATTCCACACACACTGAATATGTAATTTTTTTAGGTACAAAAGACTGTCATTGTCATAAATTAATTTGGTTTTATGACAAAAACTAGGTTAACAACAATTTAATATTATAATTTTATAGATTTATATTTACGATTATAGAGCCATGGTTTCAGTTAGTTTTTTTGGTAACTTTGTTCTTCAAAACGTCTTTTGTGCAGGTTCATCGAAAAATAGTAAAATTGTAAAAGATCGTCTTTTGTGCTGGTTAAGTATTCATTGAAAAATAGTAAAACCCAGTTTGAAAAAACAGTTGACTGCAGCTAATTGCTCATCTATAGAGACTAAATGTCAGTACAAAGGTCGTTAGCTGATGTGATGTTTTAATTTCGTCTCATTTTC